TAGCCACGCCACATATTTTAAAGGCATATTCCTGTAGCAGAGTAGTGGTAGAAGTCTTGTTACATTATTCAAGCTAACCATTTAGTTTGAGTTGTGTTCTGGAACCTATAATTTCCCAACTGGATTGAGTTCTGCAATATATATCATCCACTGGGACACTGAATTGAGAAGGTACTGTTCAGTCTCTGTGTGTACACTTGTCTCTGTTACTGTTTCATTTCCTTCAGCATTTATTTGGATAGCTGTACACAGTTCTCTATGTAGATTTAAGTTCTACCAATGTGATACATAAAGACAGTTTCCATTTTAAACCTTATCTTCAGGTTGAACATTGTGGACATAATGACTTCTAGCACCCAAACTGGCTTGGTTTACTAATGACAGAATGCTTGGGCAATGATGATAAGTGGGGCAGGTACTTTTGTAATGGAACAGCTGGGAGAAGGAAATAACGGTAGCAGGAAACAGGCTGTGAGGCTGGTGCTCCTCAGCATGTCTTCATTTGATTTAATCAGTCTGAATCTGGATATTTGTGTCTCTTTATAATGTTAGCCTGGATATAAAGAGTGTCAGATGTTTGCTGTTGTCATGAATTCTGTAATGGTAAGGAGAAATCTAAATGGTGAATGTACAAGTTTTAACCCTACAAGTTACTGCTATGCATGTAGATGTGGTGTTTAAGGCAATTTGAGTGTTAAAATAGTAAAAACTGTTTTTGTTTGATTTCTACAAGGACTTAATTTTGTAAAACTGGTTGATACTCGTTGGGAATTGTGAATTGTTGGATTCACAGCTGCTGGTATCTTAAATGGCATCCGTTGTGTGCATCCTGATATAGACTTTGACTATCCCATATTTTTTTCTAAGCAACTGTTTGGTTGTTTTTTTTTCAAGAAGTTTCTGGCTGCTTTGGCAAATAATTTTGTGCTTTATTGCTGGATTTGTTTCACCAGTTGTTGGGTGAGAGCCTTTGCCTCTAAAGTGTTCCACTTGTTATATGAAAAAGGTTTTGTTGCTTACAGCTTTGAGTAGTTCAATAATTGTGATGTGTTTGACTTCACGTGAAAATTTGAGCATTGTTTCTCTGATGTTACCCAGTTCATAAGAGAAACAGAAAATTGTGAACGTGGCGAGACTGGAAGAGTTGTGTTTCTGCTTTTGCCATAGTGATGCTATATATGAAACTAAATCGCTTTTCTTAAACATCAGGTTTTCACTAAAATCTCAGTTTGAATGTTGTCCATTGCTTTAGCACAAGTCTTGAATTTGGTTTCAAAAAATATTACAGCTCCCAATGTAATAAGTTGGGAGTAGTACTTACTGAACAAGGTCTTAGGGGTTTTGAAAAGTCATCTCTGGAGACTTCCATTCTGTGCATGCAAAATCCTTGTTTACTGTTGCACTCAACCACTCTAATAGTGGTTCCCCATATATAAAATCTGATCTATTTTCATAGTGGTCCATCTTGAAAAGATGCTGTAAAAAGAAGACTTTGTACTGTGCTGTTAAGCACTGTAGAACAGCCTGGAGAGAATTATTAAATAAAATTAATGTCTGGGAAAAAAGCAGTAGATAAGACAAGAACCTGCAAATGGGTTTTAAAGCTAAATACTGAGACTTGTTGAGGAGCAACAATGTGCTTCATTGTCTGGATGACAAAGCATAGTCAGGGAGAAGAAAAATTGTGGTTAAATATAAACTGTACACTATTACATACTTTATGTCCATAAAACAGACAAGTTAGGGTTGCCAGGCACTTCAGTGTTGGTACTGTGTAACCTGGCTAAAGTTGTCAAATTTTATATTCTCTATAGCTTTTCAAGTGAGTGTGGATGTTTTAATCAATCTGAGTCCAGGTGTTATTTGCCTAGTGCTGGCCTCTGTATAGAGAGGGTGTCACAGGACCTTAAGGGACATCTTAGGCTCAAACATACAAAACAGAAACTCATTAGTAGATTTTTTTTTTTTTAACACAATGCGGAATGAGGGATGGGATTTAGGTTCTTTCTGTGATGTTAGTCATGACAGAATTTGACTGACAAGTGATGAAATTGCTTCTATTTCCACTGACAGTTACAGGTTTTTCTGACAGCCATATGGAGTTTGTTCTTTGTTAATGTGACAACAGCTCTAGTGTAATTAAAATTATTTCTGAAGTGCTACCTAGAAATTAATTTTAAAACAAGGGAAAGACAGTAAGTTACTTAATATAACTTCTGCATGTTCAGTTGTGTTAGGAACGTGTTCTATTTATTTTGGGTTCTGTCACTGAGTAATTTATTTGTGCATTTTTTTCTAGTATAAAGGTGAATGCGTACTTTAACCAACTTGAAATGATCAGACCTGTATTTTTTTCCTGAAATTAAAAATGTCAAGGTCAGATCACAACCTTATACTAGTTACTGAATTTCTTCAATGTATACTTGCTTTGTTTTAATTTTCCTAAGTAATGCATTCCTTCATAAGTGGGTGTATGCTGAAGTTAGTGGCTGGATCAGGAGACGTGTATTTGGTCATGTTAACGTGCCTTGAAATACCAAAAAAAGGAAAAGGAAGTAGCGTTGGGGCAGTTATAGGTTTCTGTAAAATGGGAACAGAGCTGCTTGGAACTTGTTGCAGAACAGTTTGTATCTGTTTGGTTTCTCGTGCGTGGTCACCTGCATGTCCAAGCCAAGATCCCTGGCCCTCATGGAAAAGGGGAAGTGCTACACTGCATTGCTTCTCATCTGCTATGGACAGGGTAGAAATGCCACCTTTTGGGGAGCAAGGGTGAATTTCTTACCATGTCTGTTTTCAAATTTACTGTCATATTCTTTTCATAGTTGTTTATCTGCTTAGAGACAGATTTTTAGAAAATGCAGTAAAATTTCAGTCTTGCAGAAGGCTTACTTAGCTTTTGGTTTTTAGTTTCTCCAATGAGAAGATGGTTTGACTTTATCAAAGATAGTCAACTCTTTTTTTCTGATGTATTTGTTGCTTTTTTTTCTCCCCCTTAAGATCGTACTGGAAGCATCAGTACTCTTGATTCCTTAGATTTTGCAAGATACTCTGATGATGGCAATAGGGAAACGGACGAGAGAGTAGCAGGTAAGTTTTTTGTATGATTTGTAGAATGCTGACTTTACCATTTGGCTTGTTGTTTGTAGCAGCAGTATATTTAAATGAACATTCCTGAAGATGACAAGACTTCACTGGGGTGGTTTAACTAGTCACTTAATGATATAATCATGTTTCAGACATTTCAAGTATAATTACTGTAAAAATATTCAGGCAGGTGTACTTCTGTATGGTTGCAGCTGTCACCAGGGTAGAAGCAAGCAGGATACTTTAAAATTGTGCCCAGTTTTTGACAATGGAACAGTATCTTGATATTTCCAACTGACTGCTATTGTTTAGATGAAACACATGCTGAAATATTCGATGTGGTAGTCTGTGACTACTACATGGATGATAGCTTTCTGAGGTAAAGATCTGTAGCAAGTCATCTCTTAAGTATAGTTTAAGTGTAGATCAAACAAGGATTACCAAACCCAGAGTGAATTTGGGATTTGCTTAGTTCCATACATCGTCTTTACTACAAATCGTAATTGTAGTGCTTTTCGTGTCTCCCATTTGATTTCTTGATTGTCTAAGATGATTTCAAAGAAGTGATAGGGTTTTTACTTCTTGCAGTTGTTCTGAAGTTAGGAGCTTATGGCATTTTTAGTTTCAGGATTTATGATTATCTAGACAAGGGCAGAGAGTGCTTTTCTCTTATATTTGAAATTATTATTATAATGTCTTCTGCATGTGAGCCATGTTTCTCTAATCCAGGCTTTTTCCTAACTTCAGGTATTGTTATTCACAGCTTCTGTAGAGAAAACCATAAAAGCTCTCTAGAAACTGCTGCAGAGCTCTGTTTACTTCTTGACAATTAATACTGTTTAATACCATAAGCACATGAAAGTTACTTATGCTGTGACATTTGTTGATGTAGGTTTCCTTTATGAACCCTGAAATGCAAGGGTTGCAAATGAAACTGCAAGCTGCAATGTCTCTGCTCCATCCTCTTGTCTCTGCTCTGAACCACCACACTTCATCCTTGTCATGTTCTTGAGCAAAGGAAAGGCTGCTGAAACATAGGTCTTTAAAGGATCTTGATTCTGAAATTTCCTCTCTCAGTCAGTCTGAAATGGCAACCAGTATTCACCCAGAGAGAAGAAACAAAAGTGTTGGGAAAATCTCATTTTTCTTACCCGGCCCATGTTTCTGAGGTAAAGGACTGGACTAAATTCATGAACATGAAGCAGATTCAGGTATTTTGATGCTCTAGTTTGGAACTATAACTACTGACTGTTCTTTCATCTATATAGAAACTTAGAGATTCTTATTACTATCTAATTACTGTCTTTTTCAAGATGTGTTGTCAGTTTCAAGGAGGGAAAAGTGTAAGTACACAGCGGATCTTCTAAATAAAGTGTATTTAAAGAACCCAAGTATTTCTGAATTGTGTCCTGGAATACAAGGACAAGCAAATTCCAAATATTTTAATTTTTAAATTTAATTTTAATTTTTTTCATTGTCTTGGTAGATTTTTCCTGTTTCCAGACAATATTTCTTGGCAGTAGTATTGTTGAGAGAGTTAGTTTGATCTTTGCTTGGAACAGTCTTTAGTAACTGAATTGGATTAGAGATGCTTAGAGAAAGTAAATACCAGTCAGAATTGACAGCCAGTTCAGCCATTAATGTTCTGACAGAACATTAATGACAAAATAGAGATTACTTGTAGTATTAAATGAATAAATCCTAAAATTAAATATTAAATTTAAGTACATCCTAAAATAGAGATTTGTTTGCAGATTACAGTATATTAATTGAGCACTGTTAGATGTAATACACAACCAAATTATATGGCAGGATATTTACATTATATTTCTGTGTTCCTTTAGAGAGGTTTTTCAGTGAGCTGTTAAAAAATGGCAAAAGAACTTGAACAAAGCAAGATCGGATATTATTTCTGGGTGTTTGTAGCAACTTGGTTTTCCAAAATATCCTATTTCTACTTAAAATTCTGGTTCAGTTATAATTGCTTAAAATTGTTTGTCTCATTTCTGTTGAAAACCACCTACCTAAGCAATAAGCTTCAGAGAACTGATAACTATTTTATTTGCACATAGAAAAATTATGTCAGTAGAGATTTCAAAAACTTTTCATATCTGGTTCCTTCTTTGAACAAACTCTGGCTTATAACTTCTGCTTTAGAAGTAGTTCTTAGCTGCAAAAGCACTTTGAAACATAACTAGGACTCCATCCTGCTTATTTCTTCTCACATTCTTTCTTTTAAGCAAACAGTTTGGATGCTTAGGAGATAAAATTGTAATCTGTTGCAAAAGCTTGAGGCCATGATCTGATAGTCATGTTTTTCTTTTGATAGTTTTCAGAGTATGATTTGAATAGTTTATTTTTGTAAATGCCTTTCTCATGCTGTTATCTTTTTTACTGTTTGGACAGAACTCATGATTTCTGTATCAATTCCCTAGTCAAATGTCAAATGAAGGATAGCAAATAAATGCACATCAGTCACTAAAAGATACTGGTCCTGAGTCAGAAGGACTTTGAAGTTATAACATGTCCAGTTACAAATCCTTTTATACTGTGGCACTGTTAGAAAGCACGAAATTAAAAAATGTGCATGTATACTGTCCAAAGCCATAATATTTTTTTGCCATTATGGATGATGATAGACTTATCTGCCTTTTTTTTTTTTTTACTTTACCATTTCAAAAATTCCTGGAAATAACTAGAAATACTCTTCTTTGAAATTAATTTCAGTATTTCAAATCTGTTAGCCCAGTATAAAAACATAAATAGAGACCCATATGACAAATTGGATAATAAATTTGTAATCCACATAGTTTCAAAAAATATTTGTATCCTTAGAGCTTGCAATTTACTAGATGGAAACAACTTGTTTTTCAAGACTAATACATCTGGAATTAAATTCATGTGTTAAGTGCTGAAAGAGTTGGTGCTAAGATAAAGTTGGTACTGAAGTATTTATTAGGCCTAGTAAACCTCCTCCAAATATTCACTTCCGTAAAACAATCAGAGAATGGAAAGCCTGTTCCATTCATGTGGAGTAAGAGTACATCTTACTTGAAGTCAAATGCCCACAGTATTTGGTATAAACAGGTCATCTGATATTTAGTCTAAGGAACTGAATTTTCTGCAACATCTTAAATTGACCATGTGCACAAGTGTGTTTGTGATCTAAAAACTTCACTTTCCGTAATTCAAAATATCTATTATTGCTGACCTGCCTTTGACAACTACTGTTGTGACTATCTGATAGTTTTAGAAACATAATGCTGTGTTTTCAGTTATAACAAAATTAATTCTCATAATCAAGCTCCATTTCAGTCATTTGTTCTTGGATCTCCCTGCATTAGCATTGGTATCTGGCTAGACAATGTATCTTCTATTAGCAGAATAAAATACTGTCCCTGTCAGGATCTGAAGGGAACCAACAAGTTCAAAAAGCACTTCATTGTTTTTGAGGATTTCATTTATCTGGAGTTAAGTTCATAGTTTCTGCTTTTTCTAGAGCCTTTTTGTTTATGTTTTTAGTAAGTACTATTACTTTTGTGCAACCAAAAGCAGAGTAACATCTTAAAGAAAAACAAACAAAACACAAGCAAAACAACAGAGGCATCTGTAATACCACCATCACTTCCTAACATTGTGTGTTCAATTTGTTCATCCTGGAAGTGGGTCTGGGTTTGTATTCCCATTTCCTGTCTTAAGCCCTGTTAAGCAGTTGGAAGCCTTCTTAATTTCCTTCCGGGTCAATAGTCTCCAAGGGTTGAACCTGAAGACGAGTCTACAGTAGTTTCAAGTCTTTTCTGTAGCTGGTCCTGTCTCATTAACTTAAAAGCGTCAATGAGATTAATGAGTCAAGAGCTGGCTTCCCGCTAGTAGGATGATACCAGGTTCTCTGTTAGCTTGCTTATGAACTCTCATGCTGATCGCAGTTTTTGTAGCTTGAGAGTCATCTCTCTGTGCTGTAGTACAATTTTCTGGTTCAGGTCTATTTGTGTTACGTCCTGAAGTCTTTCACACTGACTGTAAGTATGGTCACTTATTTTCTTCTTAGGACTTGTATCAGGGAAGTGGGAATTAGGAAACCTCAGGTCTTGAAGTATATTGTGATAGTGGCTTCATTGCTATACTGTAGTCAGAGAATTTAAACTTCTTCTGATTGACTCAAAATCTATGCACAGATCCATCGAAGGTAGTGGGATACAGTCATACTGTCATGGTTCTGAACCCCTGGCTAGCAGCCGAACACCACAGCAACTGCTCACTCACCCTTCCCCCTACCGGTGATTGGGGAGAGACTTAAAGGGGTAAAAGGAAAAAAAAAACAACCTTGTGAGTTGAGATAAGAAAAAATTAATAACTAAGCTACAATAATATTGAAAATAATAATAATTATGACAGTAATATATACAAATGAGTGATACACAGTGATAGCTCACCACCTCATGACCAAGGCTCAGCCCATTCCTGGCTAACAATCCTGGAGCAGGGAGAGTTGCTATCCCAGAAAGGAGATATGAGCCCAAGTGTCCGAGAGACCAAGACGACCCCAAGAGAGGGGCAACCCAGAGGGAGACAACCAGGAGCAAGAGAGAGAACTTCCAGACAGAGCCTCGTTTATGTACTGGGCATGATGTGCATGATATGGAATAGACTGTTGACCAGTTTGGGTCTCAATCCTAAACCTAAGGTCAAATCCTAGGCTAGCAGTTGGGACTGTGTCCTGCACCTGCAGATGCTCACACAGCAGAGAAGCTGAAAAGTCCTTGGCTGTCTTGGCAGCAACTATAAACATCAGTGTGTTATCAGCCGCCTTCTCAGCACAAATCCAAAACATAGCCTCTCACTAGCTACTGTGGAGAAAGGTACTTATGTCCCAGCTGAAATCAAGACACATACATGTTTTAGAAGGCATAATTTAGGACATCTAGAGTTCCTTGATACTTCAGTGGAGAACTACTTTTAAACGAAAATGCCAGAATGCCATATAATGGCTTCACAACATAAAACTACATTTTTAATGTTATCTGAAGTGCCTCATCCTGAAGTACCCAAAAGTCTGAAATTCTGTAAAATTCCAGTATAATTGGATAAAATACTGCTTATACGAAAGTTAATTACTTAAAGTTTTTAGAAGTACTGTTTATTTGTTCAGCTTTTTGGCCGTGACTTAACAAGACTGCTATTCATGTAGATCTCAACTTGTTCAATGTCCCAAATCACAGGTTGTTCTTTATGGCTAACTATTCAATCTGCGGTTTCACAATTTATGAAGTCATTAACATATGTGGGTGAATAGAATAAGATCCTTGAGAAAGCTCCGTTTTAAAATTTCTGAGCTGAGCGGGCAAGCTACCCATTCCTGATATACACTTCTCTTTTAAGGTATATTAGATTAGACACATGAAAATGGAAAGATTTAAAAACGGTTAATCTGAAAATCTTGGTGTAATATTTAGTAGCTTGCTTGAAAGATTCAGCTCTTTTAAGTAAGCCTAAGTAATTTTTTTTTTTTTCAGAATAGTAGCTGTAGTGATTTAAGTTCTTTACAAAAAGAAGAAGCAAGAGAACCACTTAAATTTGGAAGGAACAGCTTTCTCCCCTAAGGCAAAACAGATTGTTCAGAAGTGCCCTTTTCTGGTAGGAAGATTAACCAACCTGAGAGCTCTAAATTTCTGCTCTCTGCTTTCCTGATATAGAGGAGAATCGACTTGATTCTTTCCTTTCCTAGCCTGTCTGCAGCAAAACTCTTCAGTGCATTGTTCTTATGGAGCATCAGCTCCTTTCACCAAGTCCCATAATGAGTTATATGTGTTATCACTTCAGTCAGGCAGGAAGTTAAACTTTAGCTGGCTTTATCAATGCTTTTGAAGGGTTAACTTCTCTAAGGTACATAAGCTTACAACAGAAGGAGAGGGGGAGAGGGAGATTAGTAATTTATTTTAAAAGTCAGTATGTGACAGTGGTTACAAAGAAAGGGGTTATAAGTTGCTTTTTTTTTATTTAGGAGAATGTCATATCATCAACAAATCAGGATCTCCAGCATTGATTTAATTAGTACACACATGTTGAGTTAAAAATCATTACATATTTTGGCAGAAGATTGCATTTCAGTATAGCTTCTACAGTAAAGAGCTTTTAATCATCATTTTAAATTTGATTGAAATTATGTTGTAGCTATTTACAAATACTTATGCCTATATAAAAATTTACAAATAAACTTAAAATAAAGACTAAATTTGTGACTTAGATGCATCAAGGTTTGTGTGGTGGCAGTTATAATGGTGGAGTTGGTAAGGCTAAGAGATGAGGTACAACTGTAGCAATGCTGTGTTGTACTAGAATTATGTGGGTGTTGTGACATGCTGCGAAGTGACAACTTCTCAAATATACTATATCCGGAATCTTCCACTGTATACAGAGAAACATGCAGCAGAGTAATCTACTTCTAAGGTTTAATGGGGTAAAGTCCTAATGGCTTCTAAGAATTTTCAGCATCACCACAGTACACTAAAAATTCTTGCCGTCTGACATGGGTTTGTCTGACTTGAGTTTTTCGGCTTTCTATGCCTTCAGACATGTCTTACTCCTATTTTCCTTAATGGGATTCCTGAGTTTTTCTAGCTTTGTGTTGTTCTTCTAACTTTTTTTTTGTTATTTATATCATTCTAGTGCAGGGCACTCCTGATCTGCAACTGTTCTGGTCTTTGAAAATATTTTAAGAGAATAAAATGTTAACACATAGTTATTTCCATCAGAAGAATTACTTAATTGAATTCTTTACACTTTTCAAAAACTAACAAATTAGTAGCTTACAACTTAGAATTGCAACTGTGAATTAGTAACTCACATGCAAGGAAGTGCTAAAATTATTAGATACTTCACTACAAGAGCATTTTCTAACTTTGTTGCACAGAAGTATTTGCAGATCAGCATTGCTGAATACTAGAGAGATTTTACATGTTTTATTCATCATATCCTCAGTTGCGCTTTTGTATTGCTGCAGTAAAATTCTGTGCATCAAACAAGTTACTTTCATGTAGCAAATGTGGTGTGCTGGAGTTACTCCTTCAGTTTTTATGGATAAATGCAAACTGAGTGAATCTTTTTTCCATACATACTAATTATCAAAAGATTCTTAGTAGCAGATGTTCGAAAGCAGAAACAATTTTATTTGTAGTCTTCAGTAGCATTTCTTACAAGCAAGAGCCAAAGCGGTGTTTCTGCTGTGCATTGTCCTCTGTAAATATTTCAAACTGCCATGTTAAATTGTTCCCAGTCAATGATTCAAAATCTCATTAACATTTTCCTATTAAAAGCAACTACAACATTTTTAGTTTTGCATGGCAATCAGATAAACATTAGATAATCTGTTTAGAATAGTTTAACATTTCAGCATGGAAGCTATTCTATGCTCATCCCTTTTAGCCAAGTACAAGAATAATTCATTCTGGTAAGTCTGTTTTTAAGTGTGATTAGATTAATCTGAGAATTAATGAAGTACATGTAATTATCTGGTAGTTCCTTAAATAGTTTCCCTTAGGTGTTCTAACTGTAAGTTACTATGAAAAGAACATTTACTATATGTTTTACAAACGTACTGGATTTTAAAATCTGTAGCCACAGTATACATATGACCTCAACATCAAAACACATGAAATTCCTGTGCAAAGAAAGCACTATTGGTCCTCTTTGGAGGAAACACTGGGACATGATAAACACTTAACAGTGACCAGGGGGTGGAGAGGTGGAGGAGGTGATAACAACAGCTAGAATTGCATGTTTTTGAATCTCCAAAGCTAACTCTAGATAATTGAAAGTGTTTTATAGTCTGGGGTCACTGGAAACTTTGAAGAGTAATGGAGCAAAGACATTTTTGTTGCAAGCTTCTCCGTAAGTACCATATGAGAGCTGCATATTTTGCTTTTTTTTGGTCTTGTGCATCTATTAAATGTATTCAACTGAATTAAAAATCTTAATCAGGTCTAGGGTATTCCTAAAAATCCACTATTTTTAAACAGAGATTAAAAAACAAGATTATTTTTCAGAGTAAAATAGTGCTTCAAGTTCTGCCATTTAGACTGCTAAAACTTCAGTGTATAATTTTATTTAAAAATATAAACTGTAGTCTAAATGGGACAGTACATTCACTTTGTGGTCTGAGCTTTGCTACATGGAGACAGCTCCTCTGCTGCCAGTATGTATTTGCTTCATTTAGATCTGTCCTCTGATTTCTCATGTATAGAATCGTAGCATCATTAAGGTTGGAAAAGACCTCAAGGATCATCAAGTCCAACCGTCAACCCCTTTCCTCAAAAAATCAAAGCATTTGACAGTATCAGTTGATTGTAAGAGCAGGAAAAAATAGCAAGCATTTCCCAGTAATATGCAAAGTTAAAAGGAAGGAGGAAAAAAAAAAAGGGAAAAAAAGAAAAAAGAGAGAGACCCAAAACCCTACAGCGAGTCCTTGTCAGACAGCTTGAAATTTTGATTTAGCTAACTTGAGGCCAGTGAAACTATGGAAAACGTTCACCAGTTTGCTTTCAGACCAACTCTGCTGCATGTGTTCATAAGTTCCATAAAGATTGCATGCTTTCTTTTTAATACAAACTGTATATTTTTTTTCACACCCATCCTTGCTTTTTATATTTTATTTTTGTTTCCCTTGCCTTGGTTGGATGCCTGTGTGTGTTTAATCCAAATCCCTGTCCAGTCCTGGAGTTTGAACTACGGAAAGCCAAGGAGACAATACAGGCCCTCCGAGCCAACCTGACTCAGGCTGCAGGTGGTGTACATAAACCTTTTCTTAAGTCTCTACTTTGAACAATGTAGAAGTAGCTGAGCTCATCCTGTATGAAAGAGTAAAATTCAGTTACTTTTTTTTCCTCCCCAGAAAATGAAGTTCCTTTGCAGGAACGAAAAAATTATAAATCAAGTCCTGAAATTCAGGTAGGTGGCTGGTGATAACTGAGCTTTGCATGGACTTTAAGATGGATATGCTTTGGTAGTTGGAAGGAAGATGAACTAAATATGTAGTGTATTGTTTTTTTTTTTTTCCAGGAGCCAATCAGACCTCTTGAGAAAAGAGCTCTAAACTTCCTAGTTAATGAATTTTTATTGAAGAATAGTTACAAGCTTACATCAATAACATTTTCAGATGAAAATCATGATCAGGTAAAGTTTTCTTTTGTGTTTTTTTTTTTTTTTTACATGCCTGCTTTCCATATTCTAATCTTCTCATCAACTCAAGTGAATTTAAGTGGCATTTCCCGTGCATGTAGTTAATTTTATACATATGAGTATTCTAAGAGTTAAATACGTTAGTTAGCTTTTTCATGTATAAAGCATGGTTTGAAAACACAGCACTTGAGGAGTATTTTCCTAAAATTTGTAGGAAGGAGACAGAATGCTTACATTCTTTAAAGGAGGCAAAACAAGAAGAAAAATACTCTGAGTTATAGGTACTTCCACACTTTCCTGGATTCTGATGGACACCCTTTCAGTTAAACTCAGTGATCTAGGTGTAGTAAAATTGTGAACGTAATCTTGTTCTTAAATCATACTTGGTTGATTTGTGCAGGATATACAATGTGCTCATTGTTTGTCATCTCCTGGGCATATATATGTGTGTGAGTATAGTTAATAGTACTGTGGCATTGAATACAGTCTGGGAGAAGCTCTCTGTAATAAAGTGTTATCTTAAATATTTCCAGACATTGCTGTGCTTTGATGCATTTTTCTTAAGATGATCGGTTTTATGTCTCTATTGGCTTACTTTTCTTGGGAAATTTTTTTCAAATGTTTGGAAGGTTCTAATACATTATGACTGTTACTGGGTGAATGAAACACCCAGTAGCATCAACACTCAATATATTCAGCATGAAACTGGAATATTGCCAGAAGAATTAAATACTGAATTTCAACCAGTTCTAGCTATAAGTAGTCCTCCTGTATTTTTTCCTACAATTCCTATCCTAATCTGTAAAGAAAATAGGTTGTTAAATAAAATTTCTGGGTCAGCCACTTAAGATTTGAGTTTAACAGTGCTAGGTTTCCCACAAATACTTGTGAGGATACAGTCCCCAAAAGAGAAAAGGTGAATACTTTATCTTTACTTTTTATGTGTTCTCAACTGAAAATGTTTCAAGCTGTAAAACAATTAGCAAAAACAGGAGAAAATTTTTAATTCTAAAAATTAACGTACAGAATGCACATCATTCTCTCAGACAATAACCTTTTTTCGAGTAGATGTATGTAACCAGACTATGGAAAAATACAGTGAAAACTGTGAACAGGAGGAAAAAATAAAAAAAAACCAAACATGAAATTTAATGTATTTAAAGAAACCATCACAAAGCCTGTATAGCAGTGCACATGCTTATTTATGTATATGGATATGGAATAATCTTGTAATAATAGGATGGTAACATGTCAGTGAGCAAAGGAAGTGATGGTTTGGAGCAGGAGGCCCTAGTTTTGTTTACACCTCTACACAATTAATACAGTTATGTCCAAATTTCACTGACAGTGTACACCCTGTCTGTCAATCATCAACAGAGCTATTTGACTGTTTGCTCTGGAAAATTACACCTGTGCTTTGAATGAGAAGGGAACAAAACAATACCACTATCAGTAGAGAACCTTTTATCAACTGCACTGGTTTCTGCTAGAATTTGATCATTATATCTGATTCTAAGAAGTGTTCATGTCCTAGGGAAAAAAGTGATCTGTGTGGTTTTGGAAGGTCCTCTCTTAAGCACATTATCTAGAGCTGCCCTTAGGGTGAAACTGCTTTGGGTCATGAAATGGATCCTTTTTCTGCTTTTGTTTCTTGCTATCTGATTTAGGCTTTCATTTCCTTTACTACAGTGCAATCTTGATGTGATTATTTTGCTGCTGTATGACCTTCAGTCAAATAAGGAAGAAAAACAATAATAAAAGGAAATATATTGTGTGATTTAGTTTCTCTTCTTCCTTTGAAGGATTTTGAACTCTGGGATGATGTAGGATTGAACATTCCAAAACCTCCTGACCTGTTACAACTTTATCGTGACTTTGGAAACCATCATGTTACTGCGAGAGATGTGGTGGATGTATCAGTTGGTGTAGAAGATGATGAGTTAGAGGCTGCTACTCCTATACTTGGGACCATCCCTGTGTTTGAAACAACACCACAGTCAATAGAAGTAAGAGATTATACCAAGGAAATGTTTCAGCTGTTTGCAGTACTACTTAACTTTATTGTACTAAACTCTTTTGTTTCTATCTTGTATTTAGCAATGTTTAATAGTGCAAAAATTAGAAGATCAAATTAATGTGTTAAACAGTGAGAAATGGTCTTTGATGGAACAAATCCAAAGACTTGAGAGGTATGTACTTATCCATCTGCTAAATTTTTTCCTAGTACATATATGAAAACATACAACTTAGACTTATAAAATTACTAGGAGTTGTTCAGAGCAGGGTAGTTCAACACGGTTTTCCTTTCTACAGAGCAACACTAGTAGAAATAACAGTATCTTTAACAACCACAAAAAAAGAGACTTTAAAAGTTTAGTCAAAACATATGATTCTGTAAGCTATAAGATATCATTCCTCTTAAGCAATGCACCAATGCAACATACGGGCAAGTGCATAATTTTTAAGTGACTTTATTGACTTGCATAGTTACCATTTCAAAGCTAGATGGGATAGTATATATTAATTCATCACTGTAGTATTTTAAGTTTTGCATCTCAGATAGAGTTCTGTCTCTTGGCAATTTGTCTCAGTGTTCAGATTTCAGCCAGAAGCAGACGACACTTGTTATTCACGTATTTCATTGATCCATTCACACTGAGTGCAACGTTTTTCCTACTACGAATTATTGACTAAAGAACTCCATTAAAGCAGTGCTCAATTGAACAGCTCTTGTGATACAACTTATTTCTATTAAAGGAATTTTTGAACATACTGGAGTTGAAGAGGGTGCTCTTCAGTATGTTGTCCTTATTTCTGTGCTTCAGTCTTGTGATTCCATCTACCTTCTCCTGAAAGCTACAACAATATTTAATTCTTTATTTTTCCTTTTTTAGTGAAATAGATTTTCTCAAGAATGAAAACTTTGCTGTGTCAACAGTTTATGGTGTAGTTCCCCATCCTTCTTTAAAACAAGTGCCTCTCACAGTCTCAGAGGACAGTGGACAGTACTTGGATATCAAGAGCTCTGAGAACAACAATAAACATGGAAACACTGAGGAAACAAGCCTTTCTTTATCAGCTGAAGTGGATTCAAGAACTTCTAAAGATGATGTGCTAAATTCTGCACCCTGTAAAGAAGCAGAGAAACCGTCCTCTTGTGCTCAATCAACTAAAGCTACAGTCCATTTCGATAAACCTAATAGGTTAGTGATAAGTTTTAAACTGGAATGCATTAATTAAAAGTTCTTGCGAAGCAGATACATGTTTATCTGACAGTAAAATTCTGCAGAATTCATGGATAATTTGTGTTTGAATTTATAGATCGTTTGGTTTTTGAATGCAAGTAAAAGACTTAACATACCTTTAGGGTACAGTGCTGACATTTTCATATTGTTCATAATCTTTTTAGAGAGGAGTACATTTGACAAATGTACATTTTTAGTATTAAGTTTGAGGGTTTCTTTTCACCTCCTACTTGTTTCTAAAATCGGTCCTATTCCTTGCAACAACAACAAAAAAGCTAAGAATAAAAGCTAAAATAAAAACGGTGAATGGTAGTACAGGATATTTCCATTGTCTTTTAAATTTTAATTTCATAATGAAATCTCTTCTGCTTGAAGACTAGTTGGGAAAGTTTTTTACTTTTCATATGTAGATGTGTATAACTCAGAGTATATAAAAGAGCTGTACTTTTTTTTTTTTTTTTTTTTAAATCAGAGTATCCAATGACATTCTGCTTTTTGAGTTTTGAATTTGGGGCAAGTCTTCACTGGGTACCCATGATTCTTTTAATTAAAATAGGGTATTCATGTTGCGTTACTACATGGAGAATGAGTTTGTGCATCAGAGTGTTCTTGAGAAAGCCTCTTCAATCTACACAGTCTTTTTAAGCATTATAGTGAAGAGGGGAAGTAACATGTTCATTAATAATAGATAAACCTCACTGTGTAGCTATCAGAAGTAACGTGGACCACAAACTGACTGAGAGTATGTACAACTTCTAAAATTACCGTTGTGGACAAAGATGCCCAAGTAGCTCACCTCATGGGAGCAGGTAGCCATTCTGCTTTGTATTTTGTCAGTTCCCTTAGTGGTTTTTTTTTGCTGGTGTTGATACAGTAATATGTTTCTAGGATTATCTTTCATCTGAAAATACCAAGTAGAAATCTGTTATATTCTGTGCAGATGGAGGATCAATACTAGCTGGGGCGCAGGGGAAGGGAGAAGAAGGAAAACAAAAATTAAGTTGCTACCCCTGATAGTAATTAACTTTTCTTGCAAACCCTAAGCATTCTGTTTTCCCTGGATTTCCTCAACTTCTTGCACTGAGTCCTAAGGACAGGTGCACTTGTTCAGTGATAACTTTAGACTAGAACAGGAGGAAAGATTTCTGATTTTTCAATACAGTACCTCAGTCTTACTACAAATTTCTTCTGGTTGAATATACTAGTGTTTAACAGGAAAGTAAAACTCGGCTTAGATTTTTCTGGAAAATTTGCAGTGGTTCCATTTAAAGCTTTCTAGATTTGGGGTGGTTTTTTTTTTTTATTTCTTTCATATCCTAGATGAGTAGTTAGACTATGCAATAATCAAAACTTATAGTTGTCATACATTGATTGCTACAAACTTGTCTGCCTACTTTTGCCTGTGGGTTATTGGAAGTTTCTTTTGCTCAGAGTAATTGGGACTGCTGGGAGGCATTAAGTGCATGAATATTATGAATATTAAAATGAGATTGATGGTTTGGGGATAGTGAGGATGGGTATCAAAATAGGATGAGATCACTGAGTGAGGAAGGAACTCTGAGTATCTCCAGTGGGATTTATGACAGTAGTCTCTAGAAAAACAGAACTTGTTTTGCTGCCTTTTAAGTATAACTGCATGTGGATTTATTTGGAAAGTAGTTGAATAAAGCCTTGAATCCCCATGGAGTTAACTTCGGAAGTCCTGCCAAACGCTTTTTCTGCCGATAAGTGATGCTATTTTGTACTGAGTTTGGTGCTTAACATGTTAGTGAAGGGTCAAAGGAAACCATATTTGATACCATGTTTTATAGATCAGTATCACTAAATTTTCTTCCTGGATTATGCACTTGGTTTGTAATAATACAGTAAAATTTTTCACTAAGACTTACATTATTTGTTAAGTATTTTGAGATCTGTAGGAGAAGAAGTACTGTAGAAGTGATGGATATTTATTTCAGTCCAGAGGTGGTTATTTTTAGAAGACAATTGCTACAATTTATTCTGAATGGATTAGAGGTATTAAAAACTAATGCTCTAGACTAAAAGGCAAGATTGTTACTACTGTAGCTTGGCAGTGAATTCTTGGCATAAATCTTGCCCAGATGGGAAGAGAGGATACAAGAGTAAGTAAGCCTGTCAGAGCGGCTGTGCATGCATCCCTGCAGACGACGACATGGCCATCACTGGAAAAATGCCTCGTCTAACAGATCGCAGTAGAAGGCACTAGCAGCAGTTTAAGTAGACTGCACCACATGTATTTATTCAACTCATTTTAGGTGTTTGGTAGTTTGCACAAAATACAAGGTGTTTTCTGTATATAGCAGTCACTCCTGACTCTCAGGAAATTGACTTTTTTGTCCCAGTGTTATATGGAAGAGAATAGGAGTGCTTGGTTTTTGTATTCATCATACTTTCTTATATTTGAACATCTTCACTACTATAATCTGTTGGTCCTTCAAAAGACTTTCCACTGACTTATGTGCAAGAGGCCTGAGTCTGTCATCATTTCTGTCCAGCATGACCATCAAATACTTTACTAGACTTCATTGAGGAGCATCTTTCATGACTCTGAATATAGCCAACAATCATGATGGGATCCGTGCTGCCCAGAGCTTGCTGTTAATTAACCCACAGGGAAATTCAGTGATGTATTATCATACTTAGTTTCCAGTCTCTGCAAAATGGGGTTAGAACTTTACCCTTATGTAGGATTTTAATTAAGGTTTAAAGTGGGGAAGCATCTGGTGTTCTGAGAAATGAATGCCAAGGTGAAGGACAGCCTGGGCAAAGGGCTGGCCAAGGCATTGCCACTCTCTTTAATGTTAAGCTGCTGCTTTGCAATGCTTGCTCCTGCTCTCCCAGTGTAAATAAACCTTAAGCCTAGAGTAGAGCCTGTAAATCTGTCATTCAAAAATATTTTCACAGAATAAGGACTAGAATATTGTTAGACAGAGGTCCTTTACAACCCGCTACCATCTGAGTCATGTAGTAACTTTTTGAAAGTGAACCCTGGCACATAACCAAGCTGACTGGAATCAAAAGAAACTTCAATAAAATTTAAAACATATTTTAAAAACCCATACTGTCAAGAAAGAAACTTGATTTTAAGTAATAAACATGAATCCTTATTTATCATATTATGTAAATAGAAGAGGAAAAATGCTCTAGTATATTTACATCCTGGATTAGTTTAAACAATTATAAGTAGGAACTTAGATTCTTAATGTGATTTTTTTGGGTTATAAAAGGGTGAATTATGATGTATTTATTATAAATAGTGTGATACTTCGGTCTATTAGATAAAAATATATATGTCTATACACATAATTGCGTGGTGTAGTATTTTGTGCGCTTAGGTGCACAAAATGGCATTTTTAAGAGTTGAAAGGTGGTACCACTTTCCACATAAGAAGCAGGAATTGCTTCCTCCCTTAAACTCATATAGTGTCATTAGAGGATTCAAAGAACAAATGGTGATATAGGGTGAGATGCTTTCTGTCCATCTTTTTCTTTCAGCGTTGTGGATGAGGCAGTGTTACATTAGCATCTAAATAGAAGCCTCAGATAAGGCAGAGGGAGTTGTCATTACTGCGAAAAATAGGATGCTACTGCTGCTGGCGCTTGCCTGCTTCATGTAATGGTCAGTCCAGTAGTTGTTTCCTGAGAACATTTCTGCCAAATTATCCTTCTCCTACAAGGTTGTTTTGAGACTCTTTATCAGGGTTTTATGTGTATGCTTAAGGCTTTGAGTAGCTCAGCTGTGTTGGTGGGTGCTGTGCATTGCCCTGAGGCAGTATTTCTGTAGATACACATCTGTGTAGGGATTAGACAGCAATTTAGGGTTAGTTTTGAGGTTCTTGCTAAATGTTTGAATCCAAAGTGGCAGTTGAGCAATCTCTGTTTTATCCTGAAGCTTGTAAGTGACTACTCAAATGTTTTTATGCAATGTGCAGAATCAAAGCATTAAGCAAAAATACTGTTCTTTGTGATTTCCACCCCCCCCACCCAATTTGTGTAATTGTGTGGTTCCTCTTGTATTGCTAAAGCTTCCTTTTCTTTACCCTTTAGTCCTATTTTTGTCTGTGCAGCAGTTTGAAAGATGTTAACATTTTTCAGAACTAAAAGTAACTTCTTAATTAGGACACTCACTTTTTTCTTGCTACAAACTAAAAACCCTGAAAGTAAAAAATAAATTTTAAACAAAAACTTCTGCAGTATGCTTTGCTCAAAACATGCTTTCTAAATGTCATTTAATCTAGTTGGTTAAACCAGAATGAGAGGACTTGTTCAGTCACCTTTCTGATCTGTGGTTTTTTCTCCCCTCCCTTTTTGACGATATTTCAGGAAATTGTCACCAGCTTTCCATCAAGCACTACTGTCTTTCTGTCGGATGTCAGCAGACAGCCGTTTGGGATCAGAGGTATATTTCCCAGTTGACATGAGCTGGAAGATCCTTTGTTCTGCATGGCAGCAATAGTTAAGCATTAACTGCCTTGAAACAAGACATTAACATATATGGAGAGATAAATTTATGGGCATGAAACTTAAGAAATAAGGATATGCTTTCAGATTTTAGCTTAAATATGAAACTTAGTGATAGATATGTAATTACTGGTAAGTTTTGAGTCTCTGCAAGTGGATTCATGGTTTTGAAGTTACTGCCAGATAAAAAACTTACGGCTTCATGTGTGTGAATAAATTAAATATTTTCTGTTAAGTGATCAGCCTGTTGAAATTCTTATTATTATTTCATTAAAATTATATTTTTCTGTTCCTGTGCTTTATTTAAAAAAAAAAAAAAAGCAAACAAAACCACAAACAACTTGGTTTTCTAGGTATCTCGGATTGCAGACAGTGAAAAAAGTGTCATGTTAATGTTGGGACGCTGCCTGCCTCATATTGTTCCTAATGTGCTGCTTGCAAAGCGAGAGGTGAGGAACCCTGAAACTTTTAGTTTTACCAGGATGCTTTCTTGTTCATTTTGAAGATGATGTGTCTAATTTCATGAAAGTCTGTTACTTGCAATCATGTTCTTACTTTTGTGCATGCATCTCTGCTCCTAGAAAATGGTTTTGCACCTCTGTCAGGTGAGTTCAGTAAACCTGCATGGTATCCTAATATTTCTTCCTTTGCTTAAGGCACCCATTAGCATTCAGCAAAACTAACTGTTACTGTAGGTCCGTCTGTGCTAGCTCAAATGTTTTTGTTAGAGAAGATCATGGTTAATGTGTGCTATAAAGAACAGAAGATCAAGTCCAAACATTAAATCTTGTGTATTTTGTCTCTCAGTTTTAATAAGGATTAATTTTGGGTTATTTTGCAGCACTATGTACTTCAACAAAAAATTTATTTTACTATCTTTTTCTAGAAGTTACATCTATCAGCCAAGATAAGTGTCATCAAAAACACCTCTTCATAAGAAAATTAACAATCTTGCTTATGTTTTCCTTACATTTAAAATGAAGCTAAATACAGTTACGAAAATGTAATGTTTATTTTGAATTTAAGTGAAGATGGTGTTTTGTGTAATCATTCATACTATATAGTGTAGGAAAGGAAGAATGTGATTGAAGATGGAAAAAAAAATTACTGGTGTTGTATTGCTTTGTTGTAAATACTGCACATTACCAGGTGTGTAAAAAATAAAAATAAAAAAAATATATCAAACAATAATTCAGCAGCCTTATAGTTGACATCAAAATAAAGGGTTTGAAGTAGCAAAGCATGTTGAGTAAGTTTGGCCCTTGTTGAGGGGACCTACAGTATGGTAGACCTAGTAGTGCATTTTGCATAAATTCATTTTAAGGCTTTGAAAAATCCTTAAGAAATTTGTACTGATCCTATAATCTAAAATTTTATAATGTGAGTAATTATCAGCGGTTGACACAGTGAGTTTGAGATGTACCACATTTTGAAAGTCTCAAACTTTATGAAAAAGTTGGTTTTTTTTTTCTCTGAGGGAGTCGCGGGTGTTAGCTGTGTGCTCTGGAAATGGTTCTATTAATAGTCTTTAAGAAAAATTGCGTGAACGTTCGTGGATCAGTACTTAATTTCTGATTTCTTACTTATTCCTTTCCGTCCCTCTGCTTGGCAGGATGTGGTATTTTGGCTTTTTTTTCACAGCTTGTAGCATAATCTGTGTAATACATTTAATATTTTTGTGACCTTTTAGGCTGTTTCCTACTTACTATGTTTTACAATTGAAGTTACATTTGATTACATGTATTTTTGTCTTAAATGAGTCATCTGTTTCAATTTGATTGAAAAAGCCGCAAGTGAGAATTGTGTAACTGGGTTGCATGGGATGCGTAATGTTCCAAGAACTGCAATTTGCTTTAAAAATAGCTTTTCTCAGTTACCACCCATTCCTATAACTATTGGAATGTCCTTTCAGGTGTAGTCATGGAATTTGAAGGAAAACTTGGGTAGACCATCTGTTAGTATTTATTAATATCAGTATTATGAAAAGCTAACCTAAGAACTAGACTCTCTTCAACTACGTACAACTTTGGGTTTTATCCGAAGACAGCCTTATCATGAGAGAGTCTTAGCACAGTTTTACAGAGAAGGGATGAAAAAAATATACCAAAAGATCACTAATTTGAGAAAGATAAGTAACAGGTTTGGGTTATAATGCAAAGTGATCACCAGTCTGCTCTAAAAAGATACAGTGATAGTATTTAACATCTTACACTGTCAGTATGTTAGACATGAGAATTAAACATAATTTTGTGATGACTCCGTAAAGTACCTTTGATCTTTAAGAATCCATCATGTTGACATTGGTTGCAAAATCTTAAGCTTGGTAATGTTGTGCTATACATTTTCATTTTGGAGAAAATGTATTTGTGGAGGTTGACTATCTCTCAATAGGTATGGTCCTTTACCAGAGATTCAGAAGCCATTTCACCAATGCTTTTAACCTTCTGAAGGTCAGTAGCAGCTTGCCTGACTTGGTAATAAGTAGTCCAGTAAATATTATGGTTGGCACCTGAGTGACCAGTTTGTGTCAAAATGTCTGACACATTTCTGAAATTATTTGTTATTTTTGTGTATTGGTGCAGGTTTAATTGTCGGTAAAATGTCGGTAGTTTGCACTCTGGAATATAAGAAAGAAGGAAAAATACAATATTGAGCAGGGTGGCTGAGGCGATTATTTTAGTTGTTTCTTAAAGAGCAGCTCAACTGGGTAAAATCAATAATGCATAATATAGGATAATTGCCTGAAAGCAATTAATAGTCACTGAAATTCCATGTATCAACATAGAAATTTTATTTTGTTTTTATCACAAGTGTCTAGTTTATCCTAACTGCTTGAAAACATATATGTCAATGTTTAGATTTGTATGTAAGCGCAGTTGCAAACAAAAGAGGTACTGCAAGCCAAATAGTAATTGTAATGAAAAGTAACAAAATGCTGAAAACCTATTCTTCAAAAAAAGAAAAAAAATCCTTTTGGCTTTGTATGCAGTCTGTGATAACACTTCTTGCAGATGAGCAGCTTGTGTACATAAAATTTCACCTGCTTTGGAATATGCTTCCTCAAGTGTGTGTTTACCACTTAAACACATTTAAGATTTAAAAAAAAAAAAAATCAGCCGCCTTCTATTTGTTAAGAGCTATACCGCAAAAAGATTCCCTTGGCTAAACGGTAATTAGAGAAAAGCAATCTTTTAAAATTTTTGTAGTAACTAATAATTGCAATGCTGATTTCTCACCCTTTTATAAGATGTAAAAATCAATATCTTTTTGTCAGGTAACAAGAGTAACCTTGTTTGTATGTACAACTTTAGCACTCTGCAGTATGTAGTACTTTAGTGGAGTTTGGGCCAGAGTAAACTTTTTGGCTTATCTAGAAATGCTTTTCCATAGTTATTTATACCTGTCACCTCACCTGTTATTCCAGGGTTAGTTTTTGTAACTTTTATTTGTGTGATGCAAACTTAGTAAAATCATGATGGTGACAGTAAGTGTGCATCACTGAATTTTTATACTGAGAAACTGTTATTTATAGAATTCAATGTGCTAAGAGCAGAGTTTTGCTTTTATTTCTTTGGAAAGTTGAAGCCAAGATAATGCTGAATCTGCAGTCTCTGAATGGGTGCTATTCTTGATTGTGCCAGAAGAAAGTAATGTAGATTCACAGTTGTTTGTATTAACATGTAGTAACAATACATAGTCGTCACTGAGGTACTTTCATTCTCTGGCTCTTTTTGTAGGTAGCTGTTTCTTAAAACACAGTAGAGCTGAATATCTTATTACAGATTTTCATCTCAGTCTTATGCTTTAAAAGCCGTAAAATAATTCTGTGTCAGAGCTTGGCAGTATATTTAAGTGGCAATTTCCATTAGCTGTGTCAAGCAGATGGCATTCTGGTTGGATATGGATAAAGGTATAAGTTTGAGTTCCTGGGCATCAAAATTGTCAGCCATCAGTGTCTTCTAAATGACTGTTTCTATTTCACAGAATAGGGGAGAACAGAAAATTTTAAATGAACAATTAAAATACTTACTCTGTAAAACTTAGATTGTGGTAGACTTCTACAGATGGTGTGTCTGAAGGACAGGGATACTGTTGACCACAGCCTGTTTGCTGGTTCTTTTCTGGTTGACATGGGGTGTTGGTTTTGGTTTGGGAGGCTTTTTTGTTTGGGGGTGGGGTTCCCCTCCCCACACACTGGAGAGAGGCATCACCATTTTTCAGTTTAAGTCCTTTAGTTCCCTTCTCTGGGTATGAGAGGCTGGTGTAGTTTTCTTAGAACGAAATAGCTCAATCTCATAGAGTATCCTTTTTATCTCTAGTCTGAAATCTGATGTCTTTCAACACCATGTTTTTAAACATAATTCCTGGATGCAAGGAGTTCAATTTAGTGTTTATGACTTGAATTGCCAGTTGTTACTAGCTTTATCATGGTAGTTTTATACACAGGTTTCCAAATAAACAATAGACATAAAGAAATACAACTTTCTTTCACAACCATATCTGCATTGCAAAGTAATCAGTTTTCCTAAGTCAGAGGCAAAAAGGAAAAGAGGGACTTGGTGATAAACAGGACATTTAGGAAGGATCCCAAATTAAATAGAGGGAGGGTTGTTGCTTTTTTACACTTATGTTCTTGCTTTATGACTGTCAGCACAAGTGGTATTCCTTCCCAGGGAAGGCAGAGTGTTTCAAATAGGACTGGAAGTCCTCTCCTTGATTATTAATAATTATATGCATCTCCGTAACAATGTTATGAAATTTCCTCTTGAATTTAAACAGCCGAATGCTAATATTATTGTGTCTTACTGGTAAATGTACCACTTTCTACAGCACTTCTCTGCAGTTTTTGAGAATTAAAAATCTGAGATTTGTTAAACAAGTCTCCATCTAAGGCACAGCCCTTAGCAACAGGAAGGAACGAGCTCAAACCTGTCTATAGGTTGTTTTTTGTTCTTAATCATCCTGAATATCCCAAGAAGAATCTGTCCACTTCTAGATCTTTGGGAGACATCACTTGACCTGTTTTGTCCATCTGTGAGAGTAGCTTTGTTGTTCTTGTCCCACAGAAAGTCCCTTTTGCCTTCAGTTTTACCTTCCTGTCCGTTGAGTCTATAGGGAGCACATAAAACACTGTTCAAGACTTCTCACTGTTTCTCCACTCCCCTTAATAGAAGGAACTGTAGAAGCACTGATGCAGCGATGCAGAGAACACTCTCTTCTCCCATAGTATGCATGAAAGAATGTGACCAATGGACAAGAAAATACAGCTAATTCCATCAGCTGTAGTAACCAGCTTTCTGCAAGGTAAAGAACCAGCCTTGTATCTGCCCCTTAGCCTTTCACATACAAGGTGGTAGTATCTAAGTGAACATTTGGAGGCATTTTCCTTTCATACAGACTCAGATGGAAAAAGGCAACTTTGTTAACTACCTTAAATTTGAAAATAAGTTTTAAAAATAAAGCTCATGCCACTGTTTTGAAGTCTAGCAGTAGTTCTGAGTGAGCAGTTGATATTTTTGAGTAAATACTCAAACATGCTAGGAAAGTGAAGTCAGTGTGATGGTTTCAACAGATGAAACAAAAAGCCCAGATCATAAAATGTGTCCCATTTCATGGGCTATGTTCTTTCTAAAAAAAATTCTTTATAAGGAGTACTTAATAATTGCAAGAGCAGTTGGATAATGTGAATTTAGGGTAGATTTCAGAAATTAGATCTCATTGAAATAACACAAGGCTTTTTTATTTAAAGGTTTTTCTATAATCTGTATTCTTTATGGTGAAGTTAGTAATTATGTTCTGTATCTACAAATTGCAGTCTGATTTCCTCTTTAAAAGATCTCAGGTTAATGTATAAGTAGTGGTATTTAGAGTGTCAAGGTGGTTTTTTATTTTTATAAAATTTTTTCAAATCTTTTTTAGTTAAAGCAGTGTTTGCAGGAGAGAATGGTTCTATGAAGTAAAAAAAAAAAAAAAGTGAAATAGCTTAACCCCCTGCCTTCTCAGGACTTTAAATAGGCAAAACCTGAATGTGAAGTATACCCCCCCCCCCAAAAAAAAAAATCTTTCTAGAGGGAAAGGAGCTTTCAGCTGAAGTAAGTTATTTAGCTATCTGTGCTATATAATCTGTAAAGTTTCTTACATACAGGTTTTGAATTTCATTATTTTGCATTGTGCTACACTTAGTTAAAAGCAAACCCAAAAACTGGCTCACTTTAAAATACTGAGAAACAGAAATGTTCAAATTGTTCAAATTTATTTTTCATTTCTCCTTGTGCACTTTAAGATTTTTGAAATGGTGTGTAGGATATTTCCACGTTCATTCCTCTGTCTCATCATAAGTTCCCTAATCTGTAACATAGTTGGGTTAAATATTGCAAAAATATCTCACGGAATGTTCAATACATTTTCAGATGTCTTAGTCATCTTCAGAGGGGGAAAATAGCACACTGAATAGAATTCTTGTAAAATGAAAACTTATCAGGAGTTTACTAGCTTAGGCAATACTCCAAAATAGAGTAGTATTCTATGCTTATAATAAACATAGGACTTGCTGTTTAGGAAAGTAGAAGTTGAGCAGTGAGGGTGTCTTTAATGTTGTTTCGACGTGTCCCATCTTGTTTATAGGCCTGCTCTGAAGAACATCATGAATGGATGACTTTGCATGTCTGCAAGAAGAAATTAGCACCTCCCTGCAAATTTATAACAAATAACTATAGATTTTTCCAGGTTTTCCATAATCTTTCCTAGTAACTTCAGAAGTGTTTCCCACTGTCATCTCCTTGTTTATCACAGCTTATTAATTCACAAAAAGCTTGTCTGTTGAAAGTGGCTCAAAAGTATGCTGCAAGTGGGAGAGGAAGTCTCCAGCTTACTTGCCCATGTTCTTTCTCTTCGGACACCTAGGTTTGTCTTGTTCTTTCCCTGCAGCCTCCCAGTGTGATGCTTCCTAAGATATTAAATCACCTAGAAATTCGTGGCTTCCCAGTTGGGTTGGAGTGAAGGCTCACATCAGTAAAGTCAAGGAAAGGGACTTCCAGTCCATCTTTTAGAAACATTTGTTTTTTCTGGGAATTAATACCGTGAGTTTCAGAGGTGTATTTAGAAAGGAGGAGATCTTCACGTTTGTGAACAGCCTTATATTTTCTTTCAGTTGTTTTACACAGTATTTTCTTGGGAGTGTATTCCTTAGAGGAACTAGATTGCTCTAAAAAGAAAATTAATCTTCAGGTATTGCCTCTTTATTGAAAAAAAAAAAAAAGCCAACAACAAAACAACCAAAAACAAACCCTTAAAAAACAATACAGTTCTCAGTCAACACAAAGCAGAGGATATCTCTCTGCAGTCACCATTACCAGTGTGTTTCTCAGTGCTTATTCAAACCTGTGCGCAAAACTGTGTGCATGCTTAATTGGAAATTCTGATGCTCCATGGCATCAGAAATAGCTTTTTCCATAGGAGCTTTGTTCCATAGATGTCTGTGGAGCTTGCTTCAGTTCATTAGGGGGTGAAGAAAATTTAAACCAGGATTGTCCTCTAATTCTGGTTATAGGTGATCTGCATATGTTAACTGTAATCTTTGCAGAGCTTTTTCTTTTGTGTGCTGATTCTCCCCTGATCTTTCCTAGCAGGAAAATGATTCTAACTTTTGTAGACCTTCACTTTTTTCAGGTTGCTTAATAAGAGGTCAAGACTCTAAAACATCTCTAACTGTTTTGATGTTGTGTGGCTAGATTTATCTTCTTAGTTTCTTTTGCAATTAATTAATATTTGCCCAAAGTCTTTTTACTTTGTTTGGTTTTCCCCTACCCACAACTTTTTAGGAATTGATCCCACTCATACTGTGTACAGCCTGCCTCCATCCTGAACCCAAAGAGAGAGATCAGCTTCTACACATACTGTTCAATTTGATCAAACGACCAGATGATGAGCAAAGGTGTGTTTGCGCTTGTGTGTTGCGGGACAAGAAGGAACTTTTTTCTTTGTCAGAGAAGCAGAACTAATAGAAACTGGATATTGTTGGTTGATTTTAACCAAGTTTCACTTAAGCTGATATTTTGCTGATATAATGGTGACAAATTTAAGTGGACTTTGGGACTTTCCATTTCCATGACCGGTATTTTCTAGTTACTGCAATGTAAGAAAGTGCTTGGTAAGCTGCAGTGTAACATTTCAGTTCCTTTTTTGTTTAAAGATGAACCTAAACGCTTTGTTAAAATGAGCTTTAAGATCATAATTCTTAGCAATGGTTGATATAGAAATCAAAACAGCTTTTTTAAGCCCATGTCTTAGTGATCTATATGTTTATAAGTTAACTGCCATGTTTGGTTGGGGAAAATAGCATGAGAAAATGGTGCTCTTCCTACTTGTGGTTCAGTACTATGGTAGCAATAAAAAATTTAGAACACTGAAGCAGTGATTTATTTCCAACAAATGTTAAGAGGTTTATTTTATTTTGGTTAAGACTCTGAAACAAAGCATACTTTTTATATTGTTTTATAAATTTAGTTCTTCCTTGGTACTCAGGAAATCTGACTTTGTACCAATTTTGATAAGAATATCCTTAAGGTTGAAAGACAGTATCCTAGCTGGTATGTTTCCTTCTCTAACTGTGGAAAGATTTCTCATATTTGATTTGTAGGTCTTCCATTATTTTCGTTAGAGATGTTTTGTAAAGCATCTGTATCTATCATTGCTCGATTCTGTCTTCAGACAAAATAGGCTTTATGAAATAAGTGGAAAGCATTTCTTTTGAAGATTCTCTGAAACTGAAGTGTTCTGGTGTCTCTCTTAGTTGTTCCCATGGTAAAATTCAGAGATGAGGTACAATTGAAAGAGATGGCTTTGGAAACAAAAAACCCAACACATAAATAAAAGCAATTTGTAGCACAGTCGCACCATGCAGAATGAAATTAGAAGAAGTAGTCCTTGTTCTACTTTTTAAAAACCTGCTTCTGAAAAGTCTACTGTTGTCTAAAACATTTTGAATGTCCCATGCAGATTGAGAAGCTAAAATTATTTGGTGGATGAGGGGGGAAGGAAGTTAGATCTCCTTTGCAGTTTCTTGTAGTTAATTTGTCACAGAATTGGTGGCCTATCAAGTAGATTTTTCATATGCCTGTTTAGCTGCACTTCTGTGTGTTTTCCAGCAGCTAAGAAAGAAGAAAATCCAAGCTTCTTTTTCCTTGAAGTTATTCATTCTTTGTTGTGAACTAGAGATTTGTATCTAAAAATAATTTTTGTCAGAAATTTGGGAAGAGTATTCTCCCATAACCTCCAGGACAAAACATGTGTATACATAATATAAATTTACACACATAAAAATCATAATCTGTTTTAAAGTTGCCTCAAGACCTGAATGAAGAATAAGTAAAATTCCGTCAAATAAAAGATTTTGAAAATACTTATTCAGAATTTCAGTTGGTATTTTATACTTATATACTTGTATGAAAGTATATTATACATGCTTGTTTTTCATCTAAAGTTTAAATAATATTTTAGCAGTTTTGTGCGATATGAAGCAAGCAAAGACATTCAGGTTTAGTCACCAGAACAATGGTATTATCTCAGAAGTTATTTGTTCACCTTTTGCTCTACTATACAGGACTATATTATACATTAAAGTAGGAGTTGATAACAAGTTGACTTTTAATTTGTTAAATGCAAGAGACTGGAATGTGTCATTGCATTTCTAATAATGAACCCACTAAAATTCGTCTTTTATTTTAAATATTTGACCTTATTAAGTATGTTAACAATTATGCAGAAAGCCTGTATTATACTTCTTGCCCATGTGAGAGGCTTTTTGGTGCATGCAGGTACAGCATATTGCCATAACTTTCTATTTAACAAGGCCACCTTTATCCTCAAGCCTTTGCTTATTAATGTACTATTCAGCTTTTGAAAATGTCTATCAAATTCTCTTCGGCAAAGGAACAAACACGTGTTAGTTAGCTTTACATGAACTTCTTTTTAGAAAATTGTGTTGATTTTGGAAGTAAGGAGCTGTGAGGAAATCAGATGGATGTTGGGGACTTTTAGGACAAAGTTAAAACTTAGTTCAAAATGTGATCTCTTGAAGAATTCTGAGTAATGTACCCAGAAGCAGCACTCTTAATGAGAAGAAGCTAAAACGCATTACGTTAAGCTTAGGGTATCTAGTATGACTTTTCATCCGTCATATGATGATACCACCTCTTACAGAACACATGTAACCTGCTGACATACTAAGGAAAACTCTAGTAAGTATGTTTTTAATATAACTTTAGGAGTGACAAAAGAACTTTGAACTTTATAAGTTTGAATTGCTTACCAGTGCGTGCAGTCACTTTCTAAAACCTCCAGAAAGAATTTGGAAGTGTTAAATAATGTCTGTTCTAGTCTAACTTCTGCCTTGTTCCTCGTGTCTGATTCTTGATTTCACTTTGGTTTCTGTATGATGAAGCAAAGTAGTGCTCTGCTGTATTGTACTGATTTCCTTTATGTTCCTGCCTAAGTGATCATAAGCGCATAACTTGGACAGAGCTCTTTGAGGAAGGTATTCCCAGTGTCTTGTTAGCAAAAGAGATCATTATGACAATAACTAGAAAGCAGTTTTTTCAGTATCCAGCCTAGACTGCAATTTTTGCAACAGCTTAATGTTAACATTTTTTGTTTCAATGACCTGTTGTTGAGATCCTTACAAACTTTCCTTCCCCTGAAATACCGACTTGTCATGTACTGTTAAGATGGTTACAGTAAAATATTTAAAACATTATTTTTAAATATATTTGCAATATCTTAAAGTTCCCTAGTTTATAAGCATGGCAAAAGGAGATCTGACTGACTTTTGAGATTTCATGGAACTTTTTTAAGAAGGTTTGATTAAAAAAAA